CCCAATCGGTCTTTCTGCCCTTGTTTAGTACATATGTCTTAGCCTAGCTTATTCTAAAATTAATTTCTATTCCTAACACTCGTATAAATTAGACAGCTATAAAAAAATAAAAAATAAAAATTCCTGGCTCACAAAACAAACATATCTCAGTCCTTAGTTCAGTTGCGTTTGTAGGTGTTCTAGTAAAGTATCTGTTGGGGAACGAAAACGGGAGTGTTTTGTCGGTCTTGTTTGTCCATTTTGTCTGCAAGTGTATTAGTCTTTCCGAAATTTTTGTCATGTGAGTTCGTATAGTAGTTGGTTGGAAGGGTTGGTTTTGCGTTGTTAACAATTTTTCTTCAATTTACCATTTCGTCTTTTACGTAAATTTTTTTAGGTAAAAGCTTTTGGCAACATTTAAAAATACACCTGTCTATCTCGGAAGCGGTTGGGAAAAGCTGGCCAGCGGAGCGCTATTTTGCGGCATAAAATTTTCTTAGGCTTTGCCCCTTAAGGGGACCCAAAACTCCTCGAGCCGCTTAAAATTACAAATGTACACTACTTATAAACGACTGGAAAAATGCGAGCAATGACTTTTCGAAAGATCCTCTCCAAAACTATTAGTTATTGATTAGGTTTTATTAGAAATTCCCAATATTTCAAAAAATAGATGCAAAAACACCAACATTTCAGGCGATTTTGAAGTTTCAGACTAAATACGTCGAAAATGGTTGAATATATCCGAATAATCATTAATAGTTTTCGATTGAGCGTTTCAAGAACTGTCTTTGATTCCTTAGCGTTATCAGATAATCTTGATGTTTAGAAAGTTAGAAGCCAAAGTGTCAAGGTTAAGAGCTTGACACTTTGAGCAAAATATTATTAGAAGCTTCTCAAGAAGAGAGCGTCCCGAGAAGTGTATTTTCCTAATTAGACTGTATCCCAAATTATTAATGATGAAAAGGTTATTTAAGATTGCGAACTTTTAAGGAACCGTTTTCTATCTCGCAACGGTTTAAAATATCTGAATAAACATTGGGGCTTTCTCGATGGAGCGTCTTGAATTTTTTTTCAAATTAGGTTTTATCAGAAATATCCAACCTCTAGAGAGCAAAATTAGGCTAAACAAATTATACACATCTCTGGAAGTATGTTTAGCAAAAAAAAACGTCAAATCTTTAATTTCGACAAATCGAATCAAATACAGATTCAACGCCGAGGGCGTAACTTCAAAGCTGAAAGCTTCTTAAAGTAGGTCGGTCTTTGTCGATCGGGAATAAAATAAAAACGAAGGCGTGTTTTTTTAAGGAAAAATTCAAGTTACAGTGTGGGTAATGAGCTCTTCATCATAAATAAGTTATGTTTGTATAAGAAAATATGCCTAAATTCGCTGTAAAAAGTAAATGTTGCGTTCCGAATAACAAGCTTTTTCGAGCGGGTTTTTATTTTAGGCAACATCCACATTTTTTGGTCAAATCCGATCAAAACTGCATTGCTTTCAATTTTGGCAATTTTAATTAATGGCTTGTGCAAGCCCTCTCGTATTCTATCCTGGTCTAGTCTAATTTGCCTAGATTGATTTGAAATAATTTAAAATTCCTTCCTTAAACCAATGACTCTGTTAGTGAGTAAAGTGTTTGTGTTCAGCTGAATGTGTTCTTTATGACACGTGAATCCCTTAAAAAATACTAACTAAGCTATATGGTGCAATCACTGCCTACAACTAGAGAAATTAGCGGGTAAAGTTCTTGCAATTTCACACAATATTGCCAACCGGTAATAATTTCGAATTGCCATGGTTCATGTCATGGTCATCTAGATGCAATTCAATAAAATTGTTTAATATAACTTTTTCAATTGGCAAAGTAGTGCAAAATGGGGACAATTTTTTTATATTGCACTGGTCAATATCGGAATAAAACAATTTTCATCGATTTCAATTATCCCTCTAGATCATCTGTGTGCAGCCAAATATTTAAAAAAATTATATTGTAAATATACAATACAGCAATGAATTGTAAACATAAAGTTCATCTACTTGAGGGTTTATTTCAACATAGACGCTGATAATACTCGCGTTTGACGTATCCGGAAACTCTGCTGAGGTGTTTTGAGTTCATTGCCGATAATTTTGAGAATTTACATTTACTTGTTCATGCATACGTACCTCTGGTGAACAATGGGGATCCACACCAGCATTCCACAGTAAAAGGGAAACTTTATCGGGCTTTGATTTCACTAGTTCCGCAATTTTGGAGATTTTTTGACCAACAACATCTTCACCGTTCACTTCCAGTAGACAGTCGCCTGGCTTCAATCCGGCTAAACTTGACACCGAATTTTCATCGACGTTACTAACCCACGGATACGGATCCCATTTTCCTCTCGTCAAAGAAAACCCGCAGTTTTGGCCATTTTTTAAAAATTCCACAACTCTCACCGATGAATTGAAATCGTCTGCATCCGAAAGCATTTCGAACTATAATGTTCAACTGCAGCCTCTGAAACTTTCAATATTTATTTTCACCTTAATGTTAATTTTTTCAAGGCTTGAACTCGCAGTATCTCACAACGTGTTTGCCTTCATTAGATTCAATGTTGTGGTACAACCTTAATCATTATATTGACATTATTATGAGTTGTATCGCTGAAATTCGATTTAGATCAAAATGTCCTGATTTACTGAACTGTATTAAATCATTAGACAAATCCCAATGTAAGTGAAAGCTGTTGGAAACCGCTTTTCTTATATAGTATTAAAGCTCGAATGATTTGATTTAGTCATCTCAGTTCTTTCATGTCAGTATGTATTGGTTATTTCTGAGATGGTTTTATTTAGGTCGTCCATCCACGTCAGATCAATGACCATTTGGCTCCTACTTTATTGATTCATGCGGATTCTCTGCTTAACCCACATGCCGTTTCATGTTTTACAGTCTTCAATTTTTTAAGTATTCAATTCATCATTTGGAATATTTCTAACGTAATTCTTAAATGTGCTGAGCATAGGTCGAAACTCACAAAAAAAAATAAAAATTTAAAGAATGTATTTAAAGAAGGTATGATCGATATGTGTATATTAGATGGAACGTTAGACTATTATTTTGAAAACTTCCAGTTTTAAAACCAATGATGTTTTCCATGTTGTGCACTAGAATTTAGGGCATAAATTCCATACAATTTTCATAGTTAGAAAGTGAGGAAGCCAACTCGCTTAGCAATAGACGCGACAGGCAATTCTGATCAGACATAACCGAACATTAGAGCTTTTTTCAGCGGTTTTGATCTTTAATCTCGGGAGCCTCCGCGCTCGAAAACTATGGATTGAGGAAAAAACACGCCTGTAAAATGCTGATTTTGATCCAAAAAAATTGTAAGCTATTTGTTTGAAAAAACTCAAATTGCGTAAAATGCCTCAGATTGCGATTCAAATCAATTTCAACGCAAATAAATCGCTTTTTTTTAGAAAAACTCGAAATTTGGAAGTTGTGCGATTACCAATCGACATCTGTAATCGGTTGAAAACTATCCATTCAGTTAAAAA